CAAGAAAGGGGCTGGGAAAGAAGAAAGAAAGAAAGAAAGAAAGAAAGAAAGAAAGAAAGAAAGGAAGGGGCTGGGGAGAAGGCTCAGTAAGGCCCTGAGATCAATCCCTGGTTCTGCAAAAAATAAAAAAATGTAAAAAATCAAGAAAGAATAACAATAACAAATAAACCATGTGCAGTCCTAAGAGTTAGAGTAAAAACAAGGAAATAGTACCCAGGAGAAAGATGACTTTGTCTCAGAGCTCCCCCAGTGGTTGGCCAGCTGAGTTGCATTTGGGGCAGAATCAGGTGCTGCATGGGTGTGTGTGTGTGTGTGTGTGTGTGTGTGTGTGTGTGTGTGTGGCAAAAAAAACCAAAATATGATATTACATTCACCTGTAATCCCAGCACTTGAGAACCTGAAGCAAGATTGCTGCCAGTTTTGAGGCCAGCCTGGGCAACATAGATCAATCCCAGCTTACAGTACAGAGTGAGCCCTATCTCAGTAAATAGATTTGGTTTCATGAAATAGCACAAGGTGCTACTCAGTGTTTTTCATATCAGTCAGTGTGTACTCCAATTGTTTCCTTTTTGCCTTTTTTTGCTCATTTTCTTTACTCCCTACTCCTCAGTTTCTTCCAATCCTCTGAAAACTGTGTATTTCCGTTTTTTATTAGCCTGTGCTTACGATATATTCATTGTAGAGTTGGTAAATCTTAATTCTCTTTATTTCCCCCCTCATTCTTCTCCCTTCCCCCCATCTCTTGGTCCCCTCTTTTATTTGCAAAAGATCTATTTCCCTGTTGCAAATCATTCATCCTCTACTTCACTCATTTACTTATACATTGAGTTTTTCATATAAGATAAATCTATAATTAAGCTGTGTGTCATTGATTTCACTTAATTTTGTGGATTGAGGTATATTCATTTACCTACAAAGGACTCGTTTATCTTTATGGTTGAGTAGTGCTCCACTGAATGTAAAGGCGAAAGAGTTATATGATCTGAAGAGAAACCAGTATATCCAATGAATGTAAATACCACATTTTCTTTATCCTTTCATCTGTTAATGGACATATGGGCCACTTCCAAGATTTAACTATTTTGAGTGTGCTGCTATAAATATGGCTATGCGTGTGTCATCATAATATGATGTCCTTACCTCTCTCAAGAAGTTACCTAGAAAAGGAATGATTGCTGGGTCCAATGGAATTTGGAATTTTCATTTTATGAGGAATTTTCATATGATTTCCATAGTAGTTGTACTAGTTCACATTCCCACCACCAATGAAGAAGTGTTCCTTTCCTACCCCTCAGCTTTACCAACACTTACTTGATTTCTTGATGATAGCCATTATTTCTGGGGTAAGATAGACTCTGTAGATTGTTTTAAGTTGCATTTCTGTAATAGCTAATAATGTTAAACATTTTTTCATGCATCTATTCATTTCACTTGCCCTTTTTTAAAAAAATTGTATTTGGTTGTTATAGGGTCTCAGTACTAAGCTCAGACTTGTAGTGATCCTCCTGTTTTCAGCCTCCCAAGCGCTGGGATTACAGTCATATCCTACATGCCCAGACTGTGGCTGGCTCAGCCTGCCTCGGGGGCAGGGCTGGCATGGCATATGTTGTGGGGTTGAACTTCAATCCCTGCACTTGCCTAACCTTAAGCAGGCACTTTAGTCTGCTGAACTATCTTGCCAACCCGACTTGCCCATTTTTTTGATGGGGTCTTTTATTTTGGGAAGCCTAATTTTTTTTCAATTCCTTATACTGTATATTCATGCTGTTAGATCTCTCCTAGAATAGTTGCCAAACATTTTTCCTATACTGTAGGGTTTTTATTCAGTTGTAAGGCTTATCAAGCCTTACACTCTTCTTGATAAGCTGTATTCAGTGGTGCCTACTGAATGAACCCAAGAGTTGTAAAAGAAAAAAAAATTGTTTTTTTAGACCTGGCAAGATAGCCAAGTGGTCTACAGTGCCTGTTTGGGCAAGCTTAGGCAGGCGCAGGGGACCACAGTTCAATCCCTGGCACCATGTGCAGTGCCACCCCTCCTCTCAGGGCAGGCTAAGCAGGCCAGAAAAAGAAAAAAAAGAGTTATAAAGAGTCTTCAAGATTTCACTGAGGGGCCAGGGAGATAGCTCAGTAGAATAAGTGCTTGCCTGGCAAGCGCAGGGTCCTGAATTCAATCCCCAGTATCATTTAAAAAAAGAAAAGAAAGAAAAAAAAAAAAAGATTTCACTGAGAAGTTACTAACAGGGCTGGGGAGATAGCCTGGTGGTCTAAGCTCCTACATAGCAAGCACAATGACCCTAGTTTGATCCCAGGTACCTCATGCTGTGCCAGCACCAGAACCAGGCCCGGATGTGCTGTGCTGGCCACCAAAACTGGGCATGGTGGTACATGCCTTTAATCCCAGCATTGGGGAGGCTGAGACAGGAGGATCACTACAAGTGCAAGCTATGTTAGCGAGATCCTGTACCAGATAAATATTTTTTTTTTAATTTTTTGACAGCAGAGACACAACTAGTACACTGCCATTTAACTTTACATACAAAAAAGGGAGCCTAGAAACTGTAAGATAAGAGGGAGAATACCAAATAGCCACAGAATGCAGCTTAGCCAAGTGTATAGGTCAAGTTAGTAGACAGGTCAAGTTAGGCTAAATGAAATTTTAAGAAGAATAATTTGTATTGGGGAAAAGTATATCTGAATTGGAAGCTTTAATCTGGGCATTAAGGATATCAGTAGATAGAATTTACTTTTGTGTTTGATTTTACAGATTTTTTTTTTTATTGCCCCAAATGCCTTCAGGGCAGGTTTGGCTGGCTTGAGTTGTGGGGATCGAACCACAGCAACCTGAGCCTGCTTTGTTGAAGCAGCCACTTAAAGAACTGAGCTAAGGGGCAGGACCCCAATTTTACAGATTATTGATAAAGGTTCACATCCAGCCTTGGATGGGAATGTATTTGGAATGTCAGAGGAATACTGGAATATGTGAGAAATAGTAGTAGAAAGAGAGGTGGAAATCTCAGGTAAGGACTAGACGTGGTAGGCTTGGTGGACCATGGTAAGACCTTGAGATTTGTGTTGTCTCTCAAGGATTTTGCAGGTGTCATCCAATTCCTTGCTTCAAAGGAGCTGGTGTTTGTGAGGATGGACTATAATAATGGAATAATGCTGGGCATGGTGGCTCACACCTGTAATCCCACCACTTAGGAGGCTGAGGCAGGAAGATTTTTGCGAGTTTGAAGTCAACCTGAGCTATAAAGTGAGTTGAAGGCCAGCCTAAACTGCATAGCAAGACCGTGACTCAGAAGGAGAAAAAGATAAAATGAAATAATGGAATAAAAGTGGAAGCATCTCAACCACATTGAAAGCCATGGTAATATGTACTATAGTAGCAGCAACAGCAATGTGAAGTGTTTAATCCACAATGGTGACATTGGCTGTGGGTGAAAAGGAATCAAGGGTGACTTGATTTTTTGCCCCAGCCACTGCTGGTATACCATCCCTGCTAGCCCCTTTCTATGACAGCAGGAGTTGCTTCCTGGAGGTTATTTTGAGGCAAAGACATTAGATACTGCAGACATCCTGAAAAGATGAAAGGGACTTGAATCTGGGCAGAGGGTCTTAGTAGGAAGAAACATTCTGAGGGCACAGACATGGGAAACATCTAGGAGATACAAGTTGCCACTTAAGGTTATTTACTAAGATTGAACATAGCTTGATCTTTGTTCCAGTAAATCCACTTAATTCATACAAACCCTAGAACAGAAGAACTGTGTGAGCCCCATTTCAGTTGTGTTGTGTTGTGTTGTTCTGTTTTTTGGGACAAACTGTTACCTAGGCTGGTCTTGAACTCTGGTTTCTTCTACCTCTCTCTCCAAGTGGCTGAGATTATAGGTGAGCACCACTGTGTCTGGCTTAAGACCTGTTTTTATTTTTGCAGTTCTACAGCTAACAATGTTTCTTAACTTTTTAAAAGGATTATAAACAGGGAAGCAGGAATATGCAACAGAAACCATACATGCCCCTCAAAACCTAAAATACTGACTACCCAGTCGTTTACAACCATTAGTTTGCCAACCATTAGCCAGTCAGCCTTCAAGAACTTGTGTGAAATAGTTCTCAGGCCCCAGCACAGAGACGCTGAATCACTTGCTCTGGGAGGCTTCTTTGAACACGCTGTCCAGGCAGCTGAGGTGTGAGACCCACAAGCCTTCCATCCCTGTGCACCAGAGTATGAAGGGACCAGCGATTATAACAGCATCGCACAAGACAGCCCCAGCAATTATGTAAATTATGATAAACACAATGGGATATTCTAGATACGAAGGGCATGTTTGAAATGCATAGGCCCTGTGTCTCTGAGTAAGACCTGACCTATCTAAGCCTGTTTCCTCATGGGTAATAAGGGCATAAAAAGCTAGTTTATCAGGTTATTATGAGGCTTAAATGATTCCATAAATAATGTTAAAATTGCCTGGTACATGCGTATCATATTTAAAAGGCACTCTACCTGTAAGAATGCTTTAAGGAAAACTAGCTCTGGTTCATTTAATACAAGTGACAGTTTACAAAATTATTAAGCAATCTACAGTCTGTAGATTTTGGCAGCCCAAATGGTGGCCTTGCCTTTCTAAAGTTGTTTTTACATTTGTAAAACATGTTAAATTGTCCTTATTGGATTGTGAAAAAAACTAATGAAACGTGCTCACATCACGTTGGTACTACCACTAATAAACCTGTCCTCTTTTCTTTTCCATGAACTTCCATTTTATGTTACCATTTCTTCAACCCTACGTTCCAAAATTCTTCTGCAATTTTGATATTCTCTGAAAATACTTCTAGGCCTAAAGGACAGAGTCATCTTTGCCAAGATTTGGGTTGTCCTACTGGTCAAGGTCAGGAGCTGATGTTATCATAGGTGAATCTTGGACCTGGGACCAGGCTGTAACTCTGGCATGCAAGTTGCTCAGTGTGCACTTGGCCGGGCGAGGTACCGAGGGTCACGTGAAGCATCAGCTGTCCTCTGTCCATGAAGCCATGTCATGGCTTTCCAGCAGCCCAGGGTCGAGCTTCTGCAGGCCCAGGATGCACAGTGCGGTGAAGGATTCAGATGACCTGATCCTCCGTGCTCCAGAACGGATTACAAAAACACAGGTGAAGGCCCCAGCTGCTGGAGTCGAGCTGGTACTTGCGCACACCTAGCACAGCGCCATCGGTGACTCTGCGCGCGCTCACGGAGGCCTAGGGAACGTCGCTGCGCAGAGGCGCGGCGCGGCGCGGGCTGGACGGGAGCGGCCGCCCCTGTGACGTCAGATTAGGCACTCGCCGGCAGCAGCCGGGTTCTGGCTCCCGGCTTTCCGGCGCTAGAGTCCGCGAGCATACTGCGCGTGCTCCGCGCAGGGACGCGAGGAGGTTGGGTCCGGAGCTCAAAGGAGATGCGTGATTGGCTAACGCTGTGCTGGGGGGTTCCCTGGCCCTTTCGGCAGGGGTAAAACAATAAGGGGGCGGTGGCCAAGGGGGCGGGACGTTCGTGTTCCCGTTCGGTGGCCGCAGCGCCGGGTGCTCGCAGAGGGGTGGTTGTGCGCGAAAGGAGCTCACAGTTCTGCGTCTTCGGAGCTTTTAGATTTGTTCTGAGGGAGAGCCATTGAACGAGGAGAAGCCGCGGCTGCCTGTCCTCAGCGACTCCTTTGGCTGCGCCCCGCACTACGCACCCGCCGCGTTTGTTGGCTGGAGGTGTGTACGGGGGCGACCGGGAAGGCCGGTGTGGTGGCCGGTAGGGGACATTCCGTGCGTGCCCGCAGCAACCGTCCGGCGCACGAGCGCGGAGACTGAGGGGCTGCAGCGGGAGACATTGTTCTCGCCGGCTGCGTACGCTGAGTGTGCGTGGAAAAGCCGAGCCTGTCCTCCAAGGTGAGGGGCGGAAGGCGGGTGCGCGCGGGCCGGGCGAAGGGCCCAGGGCTCTACTGAGCCCGGGCTAGAGAGGACCGGTGGCCTGGGGAGGCTTTCCCGCTCCGATGCGTTTTCAGCCGGTCTTCCACAGGGACGCTATAGCCGCCCCGCCCTTGGGGGAGGGGAGCGCGGCAGGAGCGACGCAGATGCGAAAGTCGCGGCCTCCGGGCACCATTTCTGCACCGGAAACCGGATCCGAGGCCGCCGAATCGGCCGGCTCCCGGGTCCCGGCGCCTTTACGTTCCACCACCCCCGCTTCCACCCCCTGGCTTAACTGGAGAGCTCTGTGATTCGGGTTAAACCTGTGCCACCTTAGCCTTTCAAGGCAGCAGGTCCCTCACGGACCCAGGAACGAGGCTTGGGGGCTTTGTGGAATGGTTTCTGTGCCGCTGCTGTCTTGCAGGGGTGGAAAACGGAGAGGAACGTAAACTTGCCTGGATTGTGTATAGTTTTGTAGTCGGATCTGATCGGATTTTCCCAGAGTTTTTGAAAGCAGATTTCTTAAGGTGGCCCTGTGCTGCTTTGGGGCGAATATAGATTTGCGCCTACACTTTTCCGCATGAATCACCTCCGCACCCTGGTATAACCAGCATTTTAGTGAATTTTGCGGAGAGGTACCTTTGCCCTTTTAAAAAACGGAAAGCAGAACTCAAGCACCTGAGCTAGAATAGCAGTTGTCCCCGTTTTCTTATGTGGTATTGTTCTGTTACTAATGGATCAAGGCACTCAGGTATCTTTAAGGCTCAGGATCCTTGTGCTATTTTCCAAGCGTTAGCATTGCCCTACCTGAATCTAGGAGCCATGAACTGCAGCTGGAGTGGACCTCGTCCACTCCATATTTGGCGGTTAATATAGCCTTGGGCATGTGAATAAAGTTTCGGAGTAAACACTTGGCCACCCCTAATCTGGTGGTCTTTTTGTTATTCAAGATTTCTGTTCTTAAAAACCGGTTTATTCCGATGGCTAAATTGGGTGTTTCTTTGGTGTTATTATCTTTGTTTCGTATTTTTAGGGTTAGGCCTGTGTGTTCTTGCGTTGTGATTTAATCTCTACAGGTTGTTTAGTTTTGAAAACTTATTAAGGACTTTATAGGAATGATTCCTGCTTAGAGCTGTCAGTTCATTCACTGAGTGAACCAGAATGTCTGTGCAGCAGATGGGATCAAAAGTGGCAGCTAAAGAAAGTCATTGGTAACTGCATGGACAGCTTCACTGACTTGAGTGTTCAGCAGTTGAATTGTCAGTGAGCAGCTTCTTGTTTGAACAGAATTTTGATGAGAGACAAAGTTTCGGTATCAATTACTGGAAATTCATATCGTTTTTAGATCTTAACAGCTCATGCATAATTATTGCTAAATGAGGATTGAGAATCAGTTCCCTAGTTACTTCGAAAAGATTTTTCCAGTATTTTAAGTTGAATGGGTATGTATACAATGAAACAAACTTAAGAGCTGCTTCAGACATGTATTCCAATACACCTGTTTAATATCTAATAAAATAATAGAGATAGCAATAGAATCAGCTTTTGGTACTTCTGCTTATTGTCTTCTGTCTTGGTATTTTATCCTGTTTTGACATCATAGCACATATATTGTGAATGATGTTTGCACTTCCTGTTGTGTTACTAGCCCGTTGTATTCCTTTGCCTTTTACTACTCCCAAGTGTTTCAAATAAGCTAAAAATTGTTTGTTTGTTTTTTTTAATTGATTTCTCTTAATCTCCATTCTCTGGTTTTCCTTCCAAAGAGATTCTTGTACTGAGGAAAGCATTACTAGACCAGGAGGCTCAATTTCAAATTCTGTCTTAGAACTATAGCCCAGTAACTTTAATCTCCTTTTCCTTGAGTTCTAAATACATTTTCTTTTCTGTAACGACGCTAATGTATCTATTTCAATGAGATAAACGAGTTATTTTTTTTAGATTTTTAAAGCATAATAATAAGTACATGCGTTTTATTTTTGTGGAGCAGCTCTTCTGTGTGTCTGGAGGTGAGGGGGGCAAACTAGGGAGACCCTGCAACCCATTGTGTTTACTGTGTTGTCTGGGCTGGTTTCTACTTCCTGGCCCAAATAGTCCTACAAATGCAGCTTCCTGAGAAGCTATACGCACTGGTCAGGGCACAGGATTTCATTTCCATGTGTTAATGATTGGACACTAATAGTTTGTGGGGCTAGGAGATCACTTGGCAGCTTAAGTACCTGCCTGACAAATAGAAGATCCTGAGTTTGATCCCTGGTTAACCCCCCTCACAAAAAACAAAACAAAACAATAGTTTGTGAATTTCAGGACTTGCCAACTTACCTGTGTGACCTGGGAGAAGAGGGCCCTAAGTCCTGGCTTCACTTTATTTCTGTCACCATTCTTCAGTTTGGTTTATGAAACTTTCTTTCAACACATTGGAAGTCACTGCTCCACAAAGATAGAATACTGCTGTGATTGTTAAGTCACTTTAGACAGAGACCATCAGCAGCTTGGGGAACTTCCAGATTGATAAGGGATGTAAGTAGAAAATGAATGTGACTCAATGAGAATGGGCTTTGGGCTGACTAATGTGAGAGCTCTCTTTCCTGGACAAATGGTGGGGAGCTTCCCATTTGTGCTAGGGGAGGTCCTAGCACAAGCATATTCGTTGATACCGTTCTTTCTGGCAAAGAGAACTACAACCTGTTACTGGAAATACTAGAAGATCCAGAAATGATTGTGCTTTGGGGGAGTGGAACTGGGAATTGAGCCAAGCTATGTACCAGCCCATGCCCATCCCCCTTAGATCTTGAGATAGGACCTCACTAGATTGCCCACACTATCTTTGAATTTGTAATCCTCCTGTATCGCAGTAGCTAGGGTTAGAGGGGTGTGCCACTAGGACAACCTGGCTTTTTAATGAGAAAATATGATTTTCTTTTAATTAGTCTTCATTTCAGCCATTTTCTCCAAACATTGAAATAGACACCAAAGAACAACATGTGATAAGTGAATTTTTTGCTATTTGTTTTAATGACATAAATTTGAATGTGCCCTCGCCAAAATACTTGGGACCAGAAGTATTCAGACTGAAGGGTTTTTGGATTTTGGAATGTTTGCATAGGCTTTACCAGCTGAGCATGTTTAATCTCAGAGATGGAAAGCTCAGAAATCTGAAACTTTTAGGTTGTAGCACATCTGACCAGGTGTTTGAAGTTACACCTAAGCATTTTATCATTATATGGTAATGCACAAGTCCCTTTAATCAGAGCACAGAGCTGATTCTATTTCAGAGCCCTCAGAAAATCATGACAACTGACAGAATCCAAAATTATGTTGTTTGGTTCATTTGTCTTTTCTGTTGTAAAATGTTCTGATAAGTATTGTACTACTTGTAGACAGCTTAATTTTATTCATTTGCCTACGTTGTGTACAGTCCTTTATGTTAATGAAGTAATTTCTGAAGTGTAAATTTTACCTTTTTTTCAGTGTTTTTTTTTTTATATGGTTCTGTAGTCTTTGATACTATTTCAATGACTGCATGTGAACTATTGTGGTTTTTGTCTCGTTGTCCCCTGAAAGCTTCATGTAGTCAAGGGACACAGACTTCTAGAGTTCGAGACAAACTCATGATCCACTGGGATTATGGGTTTTAGTACTGCAGGGATTATGGGTATGTTTACTTCCCAGAGCCTGAATGCAATTTAAGAAAGACAGACTTCCGTTCTGTTACCATTGTTGCTTTTCCTCCTCCCTTGGCTCCTCTTGCTCTTTGCCACCACTATGAACTGATGCTCTCTTCCACGCTGCCTTGGAGCCAGCCTAGTATGGACTGAGACCTCCAGTAACTGTGAGCTAAATAATAAATAAAACCTTCCTTCCTTCATTTTGGGTGTCGGGTATTTGTCCCAGCAACAAGACAAGAGTGACTGAAGTAACCATCAAAGATGTTCCACAATTTATCATTTGAAAACATTAGAGAGTGCTTTCAATCTAGGCAGTTTTTCTTTCTTTTTTCTTTTCTTTCTTTTTTTGTGGGGCGGGACGGGGATTGAACTCAGGCTCTTGTACTTGCCAGGAAAGTGTTTATTCTATGAGCCATCTCCCCAGCCCTTTCTGGTTGGTTTGGTTTGGTGGGGGAGGGGGGGCAGCTTTTCTTTGATTACTCTTTGCTACTTAGCTGACTTTTGTCTTGCTATTTTATTTAGGCTGATTTTGAACTCATACCCCTGGCTGGCCTTGAA